ACCGAGAAACAATGTTTCAGCTCACTCGATCTTCTGAAACCATGAGCCATTATTTCTTCATTCATTTCACGACTCGACACTTCAGCTGTGTTTCGACGTGAAAACTTCATTGGGAGAACATTTCTTTATCTGATAATTTTGTTTTGATAATGTTTTTCAGCGTTGTAATGAATGCAGAAAATCGTAAACCACCAGAAAAAGTTAAAGGCGCTACACAGTCTGCTTACTGTGTTCACCAACTGCTAAGCTACACCGCAGAAGTTTGCATCCTGACGAAACTAGTTACGAACTCAGGTGAGTGTAACATGGGAAACTGTGTGCTTGGGAGTAGATCGGAAATAAAATCAAGCACACATACTTGTTGAAAGCATTGAAGTTTTTACGCAAATCGGTCAGATCGCACTTATCGAAACGGCCTTTATCACCAGTCTGCAGGTGATGCTCGAAAAGATTCGCTCCAAGAATGTCGGTTTCTTTGTTGTCACTATAAATTCATATTGATCCGTACTGCAACGTAATTGTTAACAGAGATGATTGTCCCAAGAGAAGCAATTCATATAAGGCATGAATTCAAATCACTCAGATTGCAGATATCACTGCAAAATGATCATTAATGATTCTCAGTACGTGCATTCGGAAGCCACGTAACAGCCTCAAATTTCGATACATTTTTCGAAATGCTTTTATTCGGTTTTAGTAAAATTATTTCAGTTGATATGCTTGAAGAATCCAATTCAAAGTTGTCACATTCAATCGATGCGCTCGAAAGCAATCCTTCCGTCTGACTTACCCCAAAACGAAGACTTTCCTGGGTGGGGGAAGATTCATTTTTTCGGCTTGCTCTTCTATTAGTTCTGATGCATACAGATAAGTGACTTCAGTTGGTTTCCCAGTTATAGCCTTATAACGTATTTCTTGACCTGTCATCTTCTTGTAGAGTTGTTCAAGACATGTCAGAAATATACCATGACCAAATCTGTAATCAGTCGTCAACTGTTCGAGCAATTCAATATAAAGCAGCAGTGCGTTAAGTTTTAGAGGTTGGCGAATGAGTCGATTGCTGATGTAAATTGGCAGTTTTTGAATAAATGATATAAATAGGGAAGTTCAAAGAGATATGACTAAAAGTTGATGATTGCAATTGAAAATTGAATAAAAACAGCGATGATCGAAGTCATTTTATGAAACACTGAATGATATTCAGATGGAACAAGCAGCCGAATAATTCACAGTCAATGGTTTTTCTTTCGTTAGCGAAAGTAAAGTTTGTTCACGATCATATTCCTTCGTGATGATGGCAAAAGATGACTGAGAACATCACTTATAAAGCAAAGAGTTCGAATACAACCTGGGTATAGGGACAGCACTATCACCCATCCAGAAGAGATCCAAATTGCTCGCGAAAACTGGAATGTGTGGATAGCTTACTTTGTTGCTTTTGAATTCCTTCAGACCTGAATTGCATAAAATTGAACGTCTTTCTGAATACAGAGAAATGCTGAAGTGAGGGAAATAATGAAAACAATAAACGTATCTTATCAACCTGAGCATTGGAAATTTTTTAAAACATAGTCTTATCATAGTCAAAAAAGCGAATTCTAAAAACTGTGTGTCCGTGTAAATTTCATCTGCACATTCTTTTCAACAAAACATCATGATTGTGTATTGTTTGCTTTTCGCTTCAGAACACAATCCTTCACCACATCTGTTGTGTGCGATTATTTCAGAAATTGGTTATGATCATCAATGTTAAGTACCATTCGTTGTCAGCACGTCAATAATGAGCTGTAAAGCTGATTCCCAGTTCAGCGGTTCACCGAGCAGCAGGATTGACTCGAGTGGGTAGAAGCCATGATCGAGGAGCTTATGTGGCTGCAATGTTAATTTCAGTGATACTTTTCAATGCGAT